AGAAAAATAACACCTGCCGCGTCCGATACAGCTTCTTCAATTATTAGTTTTTCAGTTTCTGCGAGATTAGAAAAACGCCAAAACCCAGCGATGAGCGTGGAGGTGGAAAGTCGTGCGCTTGGAAATCCTCCATTTACTCGTGTGAGCGGCGACCAATTAGTGTGTTTTTTATGCGAGTGTAAAGATGTAGCGGTTAGTTGTGTTATTATAGAGCCGACATACAACCACGAACGGGAAGGAAGAGGAAATTTTGTACAAGAAGGAAAGAGTGGGGACTCTCTCACTCAGCAGCAGACTCGGGGCTGGTGTGGGTGTCCGCCTGTCACTTCCACAACCAGCAGCAGTTCCACAAACCATCACTCTTACCTTTATCGTGCAGTCCATTGCAGCAGCCTCTGGGTCATTTAGTCACTTTGGTCCCTTTAAACTTCTTTTAATTTACTCTTCTGACTTCTCTTCAATTCATGCACGGGTGCATTGGCTCTATGGCGCAAACCATTGCAGTTAGATTTTTTTTTTTGCTCTCAGACCATAACCGGATGACACGTTTTCTCGCTCTCTCACTCTCTCTCTCTCTCTCTCTCTCTCTCTCTCTCTCTCTCTCCCCTCTCTCTCTTTCTCTCTCTCTCTCTCTCTTTATCTAAATTGGGAAGTGAAGTCACCAACACACTGTGAAACTGTCAAGCAGCTTCTCATGAAATCAACAACAACTTTCTGACCAGAGAGGAACACAAAACTCCAACACAACACACGTGTTCTTCTTTTATATACATGTGCTTCACTGTATATTGCAAGAATTGACAATGGCACAATAACACAACTTTGATCCTCATCTCTGAATTGCACATTTTTGAAAAACATAAAAACAGCCTTGTGTTATTCCTACTTTACTATATTCACATTTTAGCTCTTGCATGGCGTCTTCCTTTTGCTGCTGTGTCATTTGTGAATTTCAGGATCAATAAAAGTACATCTTATGTTTTATAAAACTTGTTATTCTTCAATATAATTAACAGACATTTTGATATACATTGCACTTTTGTTCTATTGCTATTGATAAAATTGATATTACAATAATTACTAATATCACTATTACTCATATCACACCATGACATGTCATTAGGGAGTCTATAAACTACTTTTTATTGTTTGTGTGTAGAGCTTTTTAGAAACAGTCTATGTTGCAGAGTGAAGTTAGAAAGCTTTGTGTTCATCCTACCTGGTTTATCTATTTGAATGTTTTTCCTAAAATCAAACTGAATTTGCTTAATTATTATTGTTGTTGTGTGGTTTATATATGTGGTGGTTTATTTTTTTCATACATTACATGTCGGTTATGTCAGAGGTCGGTTAAGCTTTCGACACAATTTTCAGACCCAATTTAACAACTCTTCAAATAAAAGCTCTTTAATTCAGCTCGATGTGAAGCATTGCAGCAACAAAAAGAACGTTGTGCTTTTACTTTGAAGACAAATTGCCAAACAGGAAATGATTATATGAAAGCTCCTGCCATGATGGCGATCAGCCTGTGCAGTGTGTTTGTGTCAGTCAGATATGGTTAAGTCAAAATCGTTAAATTATCAAAATAGTCTGATGGTAATTTTTATGTTGCAGACCGCTGGTGTAGTTTATTATTATTATTTGATTTGTATTTTCAATGTTTTCAATAATTTGATGTGTTTGTTTCAAGTCCAATCCACTAACATGGAGGAGGCAGGGTTTATGACCTGTACTGCAGGCAGCCACCAGCGGGCGATCGAGCCTTGGCTTTACTTCTTGGCAGTCGTCCTGTCTGTGGTTCTTCACAGAGGCCTCGTCCCTCCACCAAGTTTGGTGGAAGTTGTTTTTTAAAATTTTTGTCTAATAATTCTGCTGACAAACAAACTCACAAACAAACACAGGTGAGAACTAAATAATATATAATGTTGGCGTCGCTCTCCACCACCTGAGACACATGACCATTAAAGAAGGAACACCCTTTAGGTACTGCATTGTACTTCAGAACCACGTTGAGGTACTTATACTTCGGTTTGTCCATTTTAAGATACTCTGTAATGCTATATTTTAAAGTAGCAGAGAAGCATCATGAAATGCTTTTTACTTATTATTTAAAAACAGAGGCTATAATACACTGATAGGTTAAATCTATAACATAATATGATATAAAAGTGGCTCCATCTTATTTCACTGCATCACGA